CCCCAAAACCCCAAAACCCCATAAAACTAGAAATAAAGGATATAAATGATAAATCTAAATTAAAAATAGATCATTAATTTGGTTCCAAATAATAGTATTTAAGCATATTATTAAAAATGATTCTTGGCTAGAAGAACCACGAGCTTAATTAACCTTTGCTTTCATTTTCTTTTTCAAACTCAGAAAAGAAAAATGAAACTTAAAATGATGTGATTGCAAGATTCTTTTCAAAATACTACTTATACACAGCGATGATAGTTGGAGTGTGTTACGGGTCTTACAATTTCTTATTATATCTTGCAGTTGGCTAGACATTTGAACTCAGAATAGTCTTTCTAAATTAAATGGCAAACTTGACATTTTTCCTTTCCTTCTAAAGTATCAGTGCTATAATAAATAAAAAGCGAAACGGTAGCTTTTGGTTAAAGCAAACTTCTTGTTACTATGACGAAGAAGGAAAGTATGACTGGAGAGTTTTAACTATTGTAACTGGTAGATCGATTTCTCAAATAGTGTCTATCACCTTGCTCTATTTCACTCTGGAGGCCTCGTTAAAATCTGGAGTCAATAATTCCATCATACTTTCAATATATGGAGCAGCATCAATCTTCACAGCAATAGCTTTTTACTTTATTTTTAATGAGAAACTTGGAGTAAGACATATTGTAGGAATTATGCTAATGACATTTAGCTTGATACTAATAGCCAGCGGTAAATATTAAGTCAATGAGCAGGTATAATTGAGAACTGGTATAACAGAAGAAACAAAGCTTAGTGTTTTTGTCCCTATAGTCTTAGCTATTTTAAATTGCTTTGCTTTTGTGGCAGGAAGTTACTACTCCAGATAAATGAAAACTACAAAGCTCTCGATATTTTAATATACAGCTGATTCAGCTGCATTTATTTCAATACTATTCTCAATTCTCGCCTTAGTATATCATTTTAACTACAAGCCCTACACATCTGAATAGTTTAAGCTGGTAGCATTAAGCTCTTGTTGTCAAGTGATTGGCTAAATATTTTTTGTAGGTTCAGGTGCTTATGGTAATGGTGGGTTAGTTTAAGCTATGATTTAAGTTTCAGCCCCCTACCAAATGCTATTGGAAATATTTGTATTAAATTAGTACCCTACTTTAATGGGAGTTGCTGGAATGGGCTGCTGTATTGGAGCTACAGTCTATATTATTCTCAGTAATAAATGATTGGCAAGTAATAAATTTAGACTAATTAGGTTTTAAAGAGATATTTAAGAATAAATTTAGATTGATTATCTTATTTAAGCTCTTAATATAACTAATTTACCAATTAAATAACATGTAACTAA